ACCTTCCAGTCCAAAATGAGGTCAAAGCAGCTTGTCTGAGACCTGGATGCTGCTTTTCGGTATGGATGGATGTAGCTGTCAGCTACATGTGAGTACAAGCGAGGATAAATACACCAGGGTGCCTCTGGGCGAGAAATGCACGAGAGAGCACTTAGAGTTTGATATGACCCAACTTTCACCGTGCTAACATTGTGCACTTGATAAATATTTCTGGTACCTCTTGATTCTCTGTTACTTTTACTTTCTCTACATTTATGACATCCTCTTCAGAAGAAAACCTGACAGTGCTTCTGTCACTAGAACAATCCCAGCAACCACAACCACCTCATAAGGAGGTGTCCCTACGTTCTTGAAAAGCATAGAACAAAATACTTAGGCCAGTACTTTGTGACTGTCCTTCTTTGGAGGCAATAAAACCCTGTCAAAAGAGAGCTGAAAAAAGAAAATGATACTGAGCACCGATGGTGGCTGTAATATTTTTTAGCTGGTGGAAATATCAACAGGAAAATTTATATGTGTGTGTGTATATGGAATGCAAGGGAGATTTGAGTATGAAACCATAACAGTATAGGTTATTCATTATCAAGGTAATACTAGCAAGACTAGACTACTCAGCTGAATTTTGGAAAACAGAAAAAAAAGGCTATTACCTTGTAAAGGACCTTGTAACTTTCTCCTAAGCTCCCCTTTTTGAGCTTAGTCCAAGCTGCAATATGCTTTCCTCTGCAAATTTGGGAACAGCTGGTGAAATCCCCACTAAGGGCCAATTCATGGGCACACAAATGCATACTCTGTGTTGTGTTTAAACATCAACTAAAAAAAAAAAAAAAGAAAAAAAGATAGTAATATGTTGTAAGTTGTTGCATGCTGTAACTTGTTATGTGATTCTTCTGTTGCATTGTGTCACCACTGTTGTCACTATCAAGATAGAACAACAAAGAAAGACTTTGACAAGGTTTACAAACTTTTGGTGAGGATGGACCCCCCTGTTCCCAAGGCCTTCCCTGCTAGGCAGGGGAGGTCTTCCTCTCCACATTTTTAACACCAAAAACCACAAGTCCTGAGCTTCACAGCCTCCTTAGCCTCCTGCCACCTCCCATCCCTCCTGAACATGTTGTCACCCATGTTTCCACAGCAGCAGCAAGACAGCTGTCCAGTCCTTTTATTCATGGTATAACAGTCTAAGGTACAACAGTTGTCTGCTTGATGGCTCAGAATTCCTGTTATCCTCACAAGGGTGATCTGCTGTCACTCATGTATTCAACAGTGCTCCATCAAGCACTCTGCTATCTTCTGTTGTGCAGCTAGGGTTGACAGAGTCTTCCCCATTGTCCTCCGCTCTTTAAAAGAAGATGAGCCCTCTTTCAGGGGAGTGCTCTGTGAGACCCCAGGAACTACACACAGTCCCACCGTTTAGCCAAGAAGAATGCAAATTATTCTTGGAGCTCCTAAGAGGGCAGTGTGTGTCTTTGTGAACACTCTGGATAAAAGTCCTTCAGACTTTACTCTTAGTATTTTATAAACCAAATATTTCCATTCTGTCTCTTCTATCCTACTTGATGTACAAATATAGCTATACTTGGGAAGACCCAAACAATGTTAGCAAAGGTGTATCCCTTCCACACTTACTCTCCCCCCACTTCAATAATGTAATCTGGAATACAATCCTCTGCTGGGAAGTATATTCGGGGAGACATATAGTTCAAAGTTTCTTCCCCGTCAGTGAATGTGAACAATATATCAATGTCCTGGTACTCAGAGCTGCCAGGCAGTCCTGTTCAGGTGCTTCTGAAAAATAATACTGCTGTGTCCTATATCAACAAGTAAGGCTGTGCCAGTTCTCCCCAAGTTTTCAAGGAGAGAGCTGCCTCTTAGGATTAGTGCAGTTATCCATGATCTGTCTTGCAGAGACTCTGAGCAGTCAAATAAACCAACTTCATTTGCTTCAGACTGCTAGACCATGATTAGAATATCTAGACAGCTGTCCTAATACCAGTATTTCAACAGTGTTCCTCTTTGTGTCATAATCTAACAACAAATGTCAGGCTTTATGTCCCAGACACCTGAGTTTATCTCTGGCAAGTTACTGATTTTTCTGGTTGGAGACCCTTTTCCCATTTCTTCTCTTCTTGAAAGCATTTTTTCCAAGTAAAAGACAGACCTCAGGCAATACTGTTGGCCTTAGAAAGAGATGAACTCTTGATGTGCTGCTTACAAAGAATCTCACATTGGGCATCAGACTGTATGAAAAAGTGCTTTTGGGCTGTAAAAGGAACCTGCATTTCTTTTAGGGCCTCTCCCAAAAAGTGACCTCCCTTTGGGATGTTCCAAAAATTCCCATTTGAAAAGCAGCCAGATGGGGTCCCATTCATTCTTTTACTAAACTTACTGAAGTATCTGGGAGCAGTACTATGTCCAGAAGAGCTGTCTGTAAAAGGATCTTCTGCCAGATATGTTTTCATGGGTGCTGCATGTGGACAACCAATGAAAGGAGGAAGAATGGCTGCTTGTTTGCAGTTTTTCCTGTAAATAGATATATTTTAGGCAATACATCTCCAATACTTCCTCCTACTCCTCTTCCCTCCGTAGTCTAATTGAATATATAGCTTCTTAGGATGAGAGGTGCTGAAATGACTGGCTGTTCCATCCCTAATTTTACCAAATGTGCAGCACATGGAGAGAGAAGGAACGGATGTCTTTAAAGATAATGTCAAAGTAAAACAAACAAACAAACAAACAAACAAAACACAAAACAAAAAAACCCCTAACAATGCTAACAACACTGGCATAATAGTTTCCACAGTGTTAACACAGGTGAAGACAAAGAATTTGGAAGCTGTTACAGCTCTGTTTTTTTCAAACTGTTCAATTCCCACAGATCTACTTCCACTGAAGGAGTAGTGCTAGTCTTGCAGTGCTTATTGTGGACTTTGATCCTGCTGATTCTTGTGTTTAGGAGTAGGCATACTGGGCTTGTGCATGAAGTTAATCACCTGCGTGAATGCTTGCAGACAGACTATCAGATTCTGATCCTACAAATATTCATGCTGAACTCAACTTCAAACACAACAGTCTTCAAACTGTATATGTTTTCTGTAGTTTCAAAGCCTCCTGGTGAAGGAGGCTATCACCTACACTGTGCTTTGAATTAGGTCCTGTACTTTATTCACTGGCTTGTGTGGTGTGTAGGATGTTCAGACAAAGCTGATCTTCCTAATGGGAAAGATAAGCAAAGTTACTTTCTCATGCTTCGATAACATTTATTTGTGTGTGGCTGCAAATTTAATTTTGGAAGAAATTATAATCTATTAAACGTGCAAAGCCTGAAAGAGTAATTTTACTGGAATGGTATTTCTAATACATGGCTTATATATTTTTCATAATTTTTATGTCAGCCAAATTTTGAACAATGAGATTGAAATTACAAATGTGGGTAGACAATATTATCATATTCAAGAAAATGTGCCTGCTTAGCTGTGTAAAAGGATACATGCTGCCTTTAGCAAATAATTTCTGAGGCTTTCCAAATAAAGCAGTGAACTGGTAATGATGCCTGTCAGTTGATGAAATAACCTATTCCATCTACAGATAGGATTTTCTTGTGATTTTGATTAAACAAAATGTCTCCAAAGGAGTATGGTACCTTATTTGTGATTTTTTTACTATTCAAGTCTTCCTGAGCTATTGGCATTCTTGAGTCCCAGTCTGAGATATTTTATTCAGGAATATGCCATATACCCCTTTCTACCATTGCTTACTTCTACAGCAATAAACATAGTGTTTATAATTACATTCCCTATATATTCTTTCCATAAATCACACTAATCAAAGAAAGAAATACTAGCTTTTATTCTTATTCTCACTGGTTTACATGCAATAAGGTGTCATAGGCATGGTCCTTTGGCCTTTATGATCTTTTAAATGTACTTGTTGTTGAGTGCCATTTTGTTCTTGTTGCCTACTGCTCACCAATGGCTTTCTCAATTTCATCCTGCCTAGTTTTTGAAAAACATCATCAAGGTATGAAGAGACTATTGAAAAGGAAATTAGTAGCTGGAGGCACCGCATCAGAAAAAATTATTATTCTGTTATGACTACAAACAGTAGCATCAAATGTGAAAATAGACTTTCAAATTAATTAGCATTTAAGGGAAATGGGTTTGGAATAATTATCAGATTGCTTTTAAACAGCTATGTTTACAAGTGCATCTCTGCTTTCTGTTAAGTCCTTGCTAGAGAAAAATAACAAATAAGTACACATTTTGAGTTTTGAATCTGTTCTATGTTCATACTTTTTTTACAAACAAAGACTCAGGACAATAAAAAAACAATGGTATTGCCTTGTTCCTCACAGCTCCAGTGAAAGTGAAAGTTGCCTATTCTTCCCAAAGGAGCTTCTTTTATTGCTCCTATATATGTGGGGAATAAGCATGCTCTTCTCTATCTCCCATACCGTGACTCTTCCAACATCCTTTAGGTGAGGGATTTTTGACTAGACTGTGCCAACAGCCTGTATACGTCCACTAGGACACCTCTTTTCAAGCCCAGTGAGGTTACTTTCAGCCTATTGCAGCTACAAATGATGTAAAGAGACCAGATCTGATCCACTCTTCATTGCTATTCATACCTTAAGCGCTATTTCACATGTTTTTTCTTCACATAGGCTTTTCGCCTCTAAGCCTATCTAGTGCTTTCCAAAGTGACTGGTATGAGTGATCAGGGTCACAGAAGCTGTTCATCAACTTCTTGGGAGCTCAAAGATTTCAAATAACCTGAACACCAGAAGTACTAAATCTTTTATTATATCCCATTTTCCCTTAAGCATTCCAACTCTGCAAAAAATAAATAAACAAATCATTCTTTATTGTCTTCTTCCTGCAAGGATGGTAATAGCTGGGAAGAGAAAAATAACAAAACTTGAGCTAGCTAGACTGCTGTTATGATAAATGAGTAATCTTTGCATATTTGCATCTACTTTGTTTAATATTTTTCACATACAGATATTTCATCGACTGGAAAAATGATGTGGACAGCTACTTTACAATAGATGCTACTGAAGGAACCATTGCTACTAATGAATTACTGGACAGAGAAAGCACAGCACAGTACAATTTCTCTATAATTGCAAGTAAAGTTAGTAAGTATGACACAAACTGAATTAATATGCTAATGTGGTATTTTTTTCAGAATGTAGTACTCGGGCATAAATATGCTGTGAAGAGTGCATGTATTGCCAAAAGATTATTAAAGAAGGCCCAAATAAATACAATTTTGCCAGACTCGCTCTGAAGCTAAGTGTGATGTTCAAACAGCCCTGAATAGTAAGGTTTTTCTAGTAGCCCTCATGTAGGCACAGTTCCCTCAGAAGCTGAAAAACATTTTGTCAGCATGAAGAGCATGAGGAACTGTATGGAGACCTTCCAATTCTTCCTTCTGATTTTGTAATTCACTCCATATGAAAGGCTAGTCAAATAACAGGGCTGTCAATCTGCTTTTTAAAGGTAGAAAAATTTAAAGACTCACTCCATTCTCAGACAAAAAGTACACTAAAACTGAGTCAAGAGGCCTTAAATGAATCAATCTGTGTGCTGCATCTCCGCTCTTGTTTTCTCTCTGCCGAAGACTTTACACCTAACCACTTGTTTTTCTTTTCCTATACTATTTGTGGTGGGTTTTTTTTTTCATTTCTTGTCTTTGTGTCTTCTCCTACATAGCTTTTTTTTAGTAAGAAATCCCTTCTTCTGCTGTATTATGTAGCTGCAGTTTTCTTCATTGCCATCCTTCTGTGTAGCATTCCTCCTTCATGATGCTGTTAGACTGAAACTCTCATAGGCGTATATCACCCTTTGAATACAAGTCTTTCGGTCACTGAGTGGTTGTGTAAAGGCCACAAAAGTCTTTCTGTTGACATCAATAGGTTGTATAAGAGGGCCCCTGCTGTATTTCCTATTCATTCTCTACTGTTTATGTGTCCAGAAATGCAAGTTTCTAAAGCAAAGAACATGTTTTCCTCAATGTATTTCTTGGCACTGAGTCTTCAAAAAATAATACATGCTACTAACAGGGAGAGGGAGATTTTGGAAGAAGTGAAAGTATACGCTATTTAAAATAAAAAAATAAATTCTCAGTTGTAGTTATCTCAAAAAGAACCATAGGCTCACTCCCTGGACCCTGAAAATATAACGAGGACACCAGTCAAATGAAAACTTGACTTTTATCTGTAGCTTGGAAAAGGAATACACTAACAGAGGAAACTAATCTATCACTAGTGACTGAGTATAGGGAGATACATGTGCATGTGTATATTGACAGAAAGTCCAGCAGAACTGTAATTTGTTTCCAGAGAAACTGAAAGGCAGGTAGATGCAGAGAGGAGGTCTCGTAATGGTCTATGTTTCAGTAAAGCTTAACTGTTTAGGTTTATTGGTGGACAGAGAACATTTGAGATTTGTCAATTTTTTCTGCAGTAAGGCAACAGTTTTAGTAAACTTGGTGTGAATCTGTTTATTATTCCCAAGAGTAACTAAGGGTAGCTAAAACCTCCAAGTTTACTTGTCTGTCTACCTTGCCAGCACATTTATAGTAATATCATGTTTATGTTGAGCTGTATCAGGTAGGCTAGATTATGAAATTCCCAATTTTAACAATTGCCTAGTTAAGAATCTACACCTAAGACATTGTGATTCATTTCAGCATACCTCAAAATATTTCTACATTCACTATTACCCATAGCATTAAGCACAATTGCCATACCGGTACTACACCAGTAATTGGCAATATTTTGGAGGACTTGAGGTACACTGTCAAAACTTTATATGCAGTAGTCTGACTAAGAGCTAGCACAGAAATGAAGGCTGGAGTTTGAGGGATGACACACTGCACACAACCAAAAAAGGTTAGAGAGAAGAGAAGAAAACATCTGAAGAAAAAGAAGGGGGAAAAATTACTATATTTGAAGAAATTCTGCTATTAAAAAAATTGCCACTTGTTCAGTACTGATACAGAAACACTGAAACTGCCATCTCTTATCAGTGAAAAAGTGCACTGAACAATGCCTTGACATATACATGATTACCTAAGAAAAGTGGCCCGGTATTGCAATCAGTTGCATAAACTTGCCTCAGGCATGGACACTATTGTTATGTAAGTATTTTCAGTTCTCCATGACCTTATCTCTTAAAATAAGCAGATTCCAAACTAGTAATAGGCATATTAAGTTATGTTACTTAAAAAACTTTATTGCTAGAATAGGTGTTTTGTCTTCTTACTCGGACAGAACAACAACAACAACAACAACAACAAAACCCACACCTTTTAGACACATTCTAATGGTCATTCTGCAAATTATCTTTTCTTGAACAGGCCAATTATAAACAAAGACCACCAGCTTCATCCCCATTAAGACAGAGAAAAAAATAAATTAAACCAGCTTTGCCATCATTCCGCTATACGTGGAAAATGATGCCAAGATCATGAGCAGGCTTGCATGGACTCCCTGCCTGTGCCTTAGCCCTGTGGCCTTCTAAGTGATTGTTCCCTTTTGTTCTTCTGTAGCTTCAAAATGAAACCCTGTACAAATCACAGATGATGCTTGTGTTGTATTTTTTCTCACAGCCAGTGAAGTCTTGAAGTAATATTATGACTTTTGAGCAATCAAGTTACCTTTCAAACAATGGCACAAATGGCATGTAGTTTAGATAGCTAAACATAGCAGCAGGCAATTGACAAATGTAAATGCAGATACGGATGTACTATTTAGACTTTTCTTACAAGTTTATAAATCTGACTATTATTAGCACTAAAGCACCAGAAGTTATAATTTTTAAAGGAATACACTTCAAAAATAAGGCAGAAGAGAATACCTTGTGTTTATTAAAGTAACCTTTGCTGACATTGCCTATTGTCAAAGAAAAAAAAAAAAAGTCTTGTTCAAAAGCCCGGCTGTTTGGGAATTTGTAAATGGTTTCAGGTCCAGTGTCCTCATTCTGCATTTATTTGGCATATATATATATACTGAGATTATTCTTCCCTAAACTCTGGGTCCTTCGCCTTCATCCCTGCCTACACCAGACATGGTGCAGTTTGGCAGCTTAAAGAGAGGTAGAACTTGGACCCTTAGCAAACAGTTAATTATGAAATCTGTTTGCCCTAGGCTTGCCTGTGTCAACTTGTACACCCACAGCCAGGGAAGTCCTGGTTACCCAGCAATAACACAGTATATGTTGCATATGGACTAGTTCCACATAGGGAACTGGAATAAGGGAAGTTACCCAAGTAATGCAATGACCAGTTCTGAACATGTATCATTATACTGTGATCTTTATTTCTAACCCTGCAAAAATTCCAAACATCTGATCTAAACACTGTCTGGGAATCTGTCTCCAAATAGCAGCACAACTGACACTTGAGAACATCTCAAAGGTGTACCCAGTGTGGAGTGATGGATAGCCTGCTGTCATGTTTAACACTAGACACCTTAACTTTATTCTCACCGTTGTTAAAGAAGCCTGTCCCAAAGTAGAGATCTTCTTAAGTGGGAGGTGGATGATTGTTCTGCTGACACACGGGTGATGACACAGACCTGAAGGCAGCTGAATGCAGAAGGTCCCTTACCTATCCGTAGAAATAAAAAAATAGCCTTTATATAGATCAAAGTGCATGAACAGGGAAGACGTTTCAAACTCACATTTTTTTCCCCCATTTCACTTCCCAATTTCTCCGTACTTCTTTTAGCTCCCTGACTATATTTCATTGTAGTTTTCTTTCTGCTTAGAGTAAATCAACACCCTAGTAACCTTCATGGTTGCTGTTTCTGAACATTTTTGATCCCACAGACTCTGTCCAAACTAATAAATTGAACATGGCTTGCATTCCTTTCAAGCACAAAGGCCAGCTGGCACTGAGTAGCCTATTTCTACGCCATTAAACACATTTACCTTCCGAACAGGGTGCCGACATGTAAATCGATTCTTTGAGAGTGGTCCCTCACTCATAATAACTCCCAGCATATGCATGTGAATTGTCTGCAAGACACCTACTTGCCCTAGGCCAAAACTGTGCCAAGAGCTGGTGCAAGAATATAATGGTATAAAAAAATCACAGACCAGAGCTCAAAAAGTTCTCCAGTGTGCTGCATAATTACCTAGTATGAAAATGATTTTTGCGTCTTACAAAAGAGGAAATAGATAAGATGCATAAGATCTTATTTCTGCTTTCCCATCCTCAAGGCACTAGTTAAGGTTGAAAATAAATATAAAGTAACCATAATCCTTCCTGTCTAAACCATCTTCCCAACTCCTCTAACTCTAGGCCCAAATTTTGTGAATGCTAAAGAAACCCAGTTCTCCTCAATGATCAGTATCTATTTTCTCAGATATCTTGGATTTTCACAAGTTCACTAGTCAAAGTATTTTACGTATTTTCTACTACTGTAATATCCTTGAACCGTAAAGATGTTAATGGATGGATGGATGGTACTCAAGCAAAAGGAGGAACAGGGTAGTCACTGTCTTACAGACAGGAAAACTGAGGAAGGAAGAAGCTAATTAATTTGCCTGTATCTTATAGGCAGAATTGAAACCTGAAATCAGTTTCTTAATTCCTAGGCTAGTGATTTAACCAACTTGTCTTTTCATCTGTGTAATCTGGTTTTAAAAGGCATGAGCAGATGTTTTCAGTGACTCACTCACTGATACCAGCATGCACGTCACTGCTGTGCTCACAGGGCTCAAAAAGATTTGATTTTGAGACAAACAGCAAACAAAACAAGGTAAAATGTCAAATCCTTTTGTTCATTTTAAAAATATATAGTCCCATAATATGTAAACTGTTCCAAAAAGCTGAAAAAATAATTTATTTAAGATACTTCACAAAAGATATAGCCTAAAAAGACTTCTTATAGAAACTGATATGTTTAATAGAAATGATCAAAATCAGCTAATATTTCCCATGTACATGATGCATAAATTTTGAATACATTCATTCTTTTACTGGAAAGTCGTTAACACATTTCTAAGAGGAAACGAACTAACATGGAAATACACTAATCTCCAATGTGTTTGAAGAATGTATCCTGAACTCCTGTTGTTCAGTATTGTACCTTAAAATAAACACACAAAAACTAAAGGAAAACCTGAGTTACTCCGTGTGAGTTGCTGTGTTCTTTGCAGCCGAGTACTGCTAGGAGGGAAGTTTTAAGTCAGGTTGTTTCTGCCAGTAACTGCGTGAACTTGACCTGCTCAGGGCTTTTCTGGTCTCTGTATATATTCAGAGTCAGGGTCCTGCCCTCTACGGACTAAAATAACTTCTTAGTACTTTTTTGTTTCCTATTATACAAAGGAACCAATTCAACTGCGAGCAACCGATCTAGATTTCTTCTGGTTCTTCGGGCATCTAAAGAACCACTGGCTGATTCCCAGCTGCTAGACCAAACTCTGTCTTCATTCATATTGCACAATGCCTTTCGCCACAGAGTCATTCTGCAAGTAGGGATGATGCTGAATTGGAAATGAATGAGAACTAAAAGAGATATTATTAGATATAGTCACTATTAATTAGGTATGTTCCTAGGAAAGAACTGCAAATATTGTGTGATTTGGGTAGTGGATTTTTGTGGTTTGTTTTTTTTTTTTTTATTCTAAGCTGAGTTTGTAGGATGGTCAGTTTATCCACTACTTGCAAACAGGTAAAGCACATTTCTACTTGCAGCTGGTCCTACTTAACTAGGAAATCATTGGGGAATACCTTTTGGCTTTGAGAGAGACCTCTTGAAAAAGAGAAAGAAATCATGTAAAATTTCTACAGTGCCACCATGAAGAGACTTTGCCCCTTGCTGTGTTAGTTACAAACAATAGAAATGCAAAGGTTTATACAAACTACGAAGTAAGTAGCTAATGCAAATAATTTGAAGGGTCTATTTATGTCTGAAGATTCAAGAAAACTGTTCTTGTACTTAACCATGACCCTGTGCTGCCACTCCTACACCTCCCTGGTTCATAACATAGATTTCTTGAGTAGTTAACCGTGTCTGTATAGTGGCTGCCAGTCTTCTTAAATGCAAAAGGATAAAATAATTATCCTTTTGACTAACCGGCTAAACTGTTTTTTATTTATCTGCTGTCTTGCAAGGGGTCTCAGCATAAAGTAAAAGAGAATATTTTCTGCTTTTATTGAATTTGTGTCTCCTTTCTGTCAGACATTGCATTTGCAGGTAAACGTTTATAAAATATATCTAGTGACTGATGAAGATTATCTGCATTGGTAGGACAATGGAAAGAAGCATAATATATACTGTGTTTTAGCATTTCTTTTGTGCAAAAGTATTTGCTGCTTGCAATACTTATGCAGTTGAAGAAATAACTGTTACAACATAGCCTAATGGTCTAACCACAAGTTGAATGCTAGCTCTATATGTTTCATCATTGCTAAATTTACCACTGACGCCGGCTTTCAGCAAGATTTTTCTTTATATCCTTCTCTCTTATTTTTCTCCATCTTCTAAATGGGTATGCTCCACTTACCTCCTTAATATCTTGAAGATATAAACAGTGGCTAAGTAATAAATATTGATTTTCTGCATTCTATTGTGGAAAATAGAATTCAGTTTTAATCATTGGAAGCCTTTTCCACAAACTCCATGAAAAGTGATATGAGAAAAGTTTGCATCTTTAATTACAGGTACAACTCCAAATTCTTTAATTTATGCTCTGATAAACATAATCATGTTGATTGATTCCTTACTCCATGAAGAGTAATGGATCAAAGTCTGGTACAAAATGATAAGAAATTTGTTTCTGATTTCTCCTTAGTACAAATCAGAAATAAACGGAAGTCAAGGGCTTTTAGAAGTCACAGTAACTGGCATCAAAACAGTTTATGACAGCTCATGGGCACTGGTGATGACAACAAACATAAATAGTATTCCTTAATGCTTTTCTCCTAAAATCATTTATAGGTAACCCACTATTAACCAGCAAAGTCAACGTTATAATAAATGTCCTGGATGTCAACGAGTTTCCTCCTGAAATTTCAGTTCCATATGAGACATCTGTATGTGAAAATGCCAAACCAGGACAGGTATTTCAAATTTGTAATGCTTGCTATTTTGCTTTTGCTTTCCTTATTTATAGCATTAGAAATTTCTGGGTTTGAAAATGACTTCATGGTTAGAATTCTTTTACAAATAAAATGTCTGTGTTGGAAATACTCACCTTTAGAAATTCTGTTTGTTGACCTTTAAGGTCTATTTATTTTTATTATCCCTGATTATATGGGCCTGAGCCACCCTTTACTGTGCATTTAATAGCTGTGACAGGAGAAAGAATCCCTTCCTTAAAGACACTTAAATATAAAGGTAAAACTGCAGTGAATGAGAGTAGGATGGATTACAGATATTTCTATATCCTATTCAGAGAAAAAGAACCCACAAGCCCAAAAACAATGTTCCTGAAAGCTTGTTTTTATAAGCAGTTTCAAATATATACATAGCATGCAAAACGTATTTCAGATTCAGAATATCACCTTATACCACGGGTGATGCCAGTATTAATAGAGCTTGCCCCAGAAGCTGTTGGCATGTGCTCCTTCTGCACAAAATTTGTGCAATTAAACACAGTGCTGCAAAGCACGAAGGCCAATCGTCATATATATTAACAGCTAATACTGTTTCCAAGACAAGACTTGTAACTTCAACTGTTCAACTTTGAGAGTTACTGCCAGCCATGGAATGAACATATTCAGCCTGCTGTGTAATCACTGACTTCTCTTTTTATGTATGTAATATGTAATCAGTCCATGTGATTTTTATTGCCTTTATTACAGATTTGTCCATGACTTAATATGATATTCCTATCTCACCTTTTTTTTTTTTTTTAATATGTTTCAACTAACTACCATACAACCTAATTTAACTTCTAGTTTATCAGATACGTTTTGTTAGTACCTTATCCAGGCACTAACTGTAGAAAGGGAAACCTTTTACAGGGAAGGTTGAGATAAGCACTGAGCTGCCAAAAATTATAAATATTTAGACCTTTGTTACATACAAAAATGCCTTCCTTTTTAAAAGATCAGTGGCAATCCTACCATGAAACATTTTAACTGCACGGTGCTTATCTGAAATCTAGTAGATAAGACTCTGGGACCCAAAAGTTCCTTCACGCCTAGATGGTGCAGACCTTTCAACCCTCTCTACTTCATTTCAAGCTGTAAAATTAGGGTGCAGCTTTGTGAAGTGTTACAACATGTACCAGTCATAACAGTAATAGTAGTAGTAGCAGATAAAGTGAACCATCTTTAAGTAATCACTCACATGAAAACAATCACTAGTATTTTGATACAAAAACCAAATATTAAATACTGCTATGAATATAGGGTAAATCTTTCTGATTTCCTTCAGATATGTCAAAGCCAGACCTTCTGAAACATCACAATTCCTCTGGAGGCTATAGTATTCAAACTTCTTGCCTCTACTGTCCAATATATTAGGGGAATTAGAGTAATCCAGCAGGATTTCACTTTCATTGTTTCATTGGATGTTCACTTTGCACTTTTACTTCTTTTAGAAGAGTGAACTGACTTCAGAATTAATCTCGTTTCAGGTGATACAGACTGTCACTGCAGCAGACAAAGATTTGTCACCAGCTGGGCAAAGGTTTTCCTTCAGACTGTCAGCTGAAGCTTCCAACAAACCAAATTTCACAGTCCATGACTACAGAAGTAAGTTGCTTACCCATATCTCTCTTTCAGAGCAGCAGGCTGTGATTATAATGACAAATATGATTACTTTGTATTACAGTCATATCTACAGACTAACTTTTTTATTTGACATTTCTAATTGTTAAATTATCTAGGACATATATTCATATAAATTCAGGTCTTGCACCTTTTCTCATTTTTAGGGGACAGGAACTACAGAAGTAAGTTGCTTACCCATATCTCTCTTTCAGAGCAGCAGGCTGTGATTATAATGACAAATATGATTACTTTGTATTACAGTCATATCTACAGACTAACTTTTTTATTTGACATTTCTAATTGTTAAATTATCTAGGACATATATTCATATAAATTCAGGTCTTGCACCTTTTCTCATTTTTAGGGGACAGGAATTGTCAGAACACGAAAGGCTGAGATTTCCCTACAGGCCTGCAAAAACACTGCTACCTGTTTTATTTTCTTCCTTTTATCATTCAGTATCTCAGGAAGAACTCATATGCCAATGCAGGTATACTTTTAAACAAGGCACTATTGCTGCCTTTTTTAAATACTATTATTTTGCTAACTGTTTTCAAAGTATCCACTATTGTGCTTTCTGGAGGATGCATAGTCCTGCAGAAGAATTAGTTCTAAATATGGACAGTGCTGCTGCAGTATAACGTCCCACAACACTCTTAATATTTTGTAGATTTTTATAATTAACATCTCTGATTTTTCCCTCAATTTTTGTCATAACTGATCATCTTTTTTTTTCTTCTTCACTTGAATGTTTTTGATAAATGGCAAAGAACAACCCAAGAGGAAAAAATTGATCTTTTTTCCTATCATAAACATCTTTAAGCATGCAGTCTTGTGAACAGGCACAGCTAAAACACCATAATAAACTGTAGTAAATTTTCACCACTAATTACTTAAATCAAATAAGGAAAAAAAAATTAACAATGACTTTATCAGCTATTAGGTGACCTTTAAAGAACTTTGATATGATAAGCTTTTCATAAAAAAAGGGTTTACATTACTCTGCAAAGAAAGAACACCTAAAGCCATTCAATAAAGTTCAGTAACATTCCTTTGCCTATTTAACTACGTAGATTATAAGTATTACTTCTAAGGAAAAGTGTATAATTCTTAAGTTTTTTAAAAAAATATTAGTTATATTCATTATTATTTTTAATTTAAATTTGAGACAATATTGAATATGATGTAAAGGTTCATTTATTGAGAATTAAGTTACCCAAGCCCTAAAAAGGACTAGAAATGGATAATACACAGAATGAAAAAAATTGCAGAGACCACTTATTTAGCCTTTTTAAAAACCATTTAATGGTTTTAATATGACTCACATTATTTTTGAAGGCATACACTTTTGTCAATGTTACGTGATACAAAATTAAAGCCACCAAAATAAGTACAACTATTAATCATAAAGACCTTTATCATTAAGAAAGTTCAGGAAGAAATAAATTTGAAACAGCAGAAAAATAAACTGTGCTTATTTTCTCTTTTTATATAGCTCCTGTGTGAAGATGAGAAGACAAAAATGGTTTATTCCCAAACTTATTAGTGACTTTTATTTTAGCATGTCATAGATAGCCAAAAACATTTTACAGATGAGCAAAGAATTTCACTTAATGATTTGTAAATACAGTGTATAATGAAACCGTAATGGTTCATAGTATTGCAGATATGAATTACAGTAACTTATGAAACAAAAATATGTAGATCAGCATTTTATCAGAGGCCATTCAAATAGTTTTCTTGAGACAGACAGTTCAATGAATATGAAGGACAACCTTACAATGGATTCAAGTCTCCTTACTTCTATTCTTGGAAGATTAAGTCATTACTCTTCTCCAGAAATGCTTAGTCTAACCAGTTTGCTTTTAACAGCTACTAGTATTGAAAAATGTTGTGGCATTTCAATATCTAACTATAATTATGCCAAGCAAGATTTAAATGTTTTGCGTCTGTGTCCCACTGGACTTAAAATTTTGGATAATGCCTAAGTTTACTTCCCCTTAAGGCTGAACTGTAGTTTCTGTTATTTTCTGTTCCCTACTTAGCTGTTGGTAGTATTTCCTTGGAAAACTCAGCATGATGAACTTTGTTAATGATTATAATTAAAAAAAAAATGTTCTCTATATCTTAACAGAAGAAGGAAAATATACCTCTTTAGAGCTTTCTCATATTTTACATGAATTACTTTCATCTTTTCACTTTTCAACATATTTGAAGTACCATATGGGTAGTATCTTCATAATTATGTAATCTTATAACATGAATACTGTGTATTTCTAAACACCTTTGCTCTTTTGGTCAAGATTTCTTTAAAGTAAGAGCTTTAATTTCTTCTTTCTATCCATTTACTAAAATATCCTTTAATTTCACCAAGATTTAAGTTTTTCAAATAATTACAAACTATTGTTTTAAACATAAGTCTTCCAGTTCTTCTCAGGTAATTTTAACATATTTAATTCCTCAAAAGAATCTTTAAACTTAAAAAGGTTATACAGTAATTAAACTCAATGACCTTTCTCATTTACAGCTTTTGCGTAGTGTGCTTAGCATATAAGTTTGGTGAGGAAATTGCTCAAATATTATTAGATAATTAAATTTCCCCATTCAGACCAGTAATGTTGACTCCAAGATGACTTTGGATCTCAGTAGTCTATTAACAAACTTTCTCTACTGTATAAAAAGAAATGTAATATTCCCATAACAAATGGAATTAGAAGCCACCAAGACACGTGATTTTTCATGCATAAATATTTGTATGTGTGTACCTATATACACACTCTTGCAAGCATTTCTTAACGCTTACTAAAAAATAAGAAAGAAGTACACTATTTATCGAAACATAAAGAAGTACACATTTATCGAGAGAAAAGGTTGGAATATTTTCCAACCATAAGAGACTTTTTATTTTTTGATGATTTTACAGAGCTATTAGAAAAATCTGTCTAAACAGAAACTCTGTACAATATTTTCAATATCTTCTGCTTTTTGTTTACCAAAAAGGTAGAAGGTCTGCTCTGTGCACTATTTAAAGGTATAATAACACAGCCTTATTTTCACTACAAAAACCTTTTAAAAACATGAATATTATTAACTTTTGAGTTAGCAATTATGTTAGTACCAAGCAGGTACTTTGTGAAAGGAATTTTTTTTTTTTTTTTTGAGGAAACAATCTTGTTCACTGTGTTACAACTAACGCTTTTACAAGTAAATGTGTCGTTTAACATTTTTAAACACATCAAGAAGCCCAATAACCAATGCTATTCTATACAGCTAAAAATCATGGGTGGTGTGATATTACAGCAGGTGTAATATGTTTGTAGTGCACCCAAGAGAATAAACTTTTCCAGATTCCATATTTCTTCAGAATATAACTTAATGAGGACAGAAGCAAGACAGAAGCTCAAGGTTGCCATTTGGAGTCTCTATAAATATGAACACAGGGAAATGTTATGTTTCTAGACTATACCTTCAGCAGCGCCGAGACCAATCCACCAGCTGTGAATAGAAATGAGAGGCCCTGGCAGAGCTGGAGTATCTTCAGCTGAACAGCCCACCTTCCTTTTTCCACTTTGCTGGCCTCACTCTGCTCCCTAGAGGGCTGCTTCCCTGCAGAGCACACTCAGTTGCTCCTGTAAGAGAGAGAATTTTCCTTCTCTCCAGACTGTCACACACATCCTGAAAATGAATTTGTTGCCAACAGACTGAAGAACCAGAAGCTGTCACAGCTTCAAACTGCAGCTCCAGGCTGCTCTGTGTAGAGTTCAAACACATGCCTGTGTCCGTATTTTCAAAAGGACCTTGAACAATTGAAAGGGGTTGTAGAAGAGCAACAAAATTGTTCAAAGCCAAAGACTTAAGAGCTCGATCTGTTTGATTCTTCTCAAAGGAGAATGGAAAGTAATTTGGTTGCATTGTAACATGTATCAAAGTGATCTTCAACATTGCAATTAGAAGCAAAAAAAAAGAATAGAGATAATTCTATAAATAGAAATAGAAATAAGAATAGAAATAAGATTAATCTGGATGACTTCAAATTAGAACTAAAACTGTTTATACAGTGCAGATGATTAATCATAGAAAGAACAAGCTGAATATGGAAGTTGGTTCGATTCAAACAATTTTGAGACATTTTTCTTTTTCAAAACTAAATGTCACTCAACTTGACATGTCCACGTGTTATGGTTGAGTTTGATAAAAAGGGGACTTCTGAAATAAACATTTAATCAGCAAGTGCTTTCTCAATGGTGTCTGATCATAACATATCTGATTTTTAAGGATATTTAGGGTTCCTTCTTATTGTCCTTAATCAGAACTATACACAAGTATTTGAGTGTTGAATTCAGAGCCTTCAATCCTACTTAGTGACAAAACTCCAAGAAGGGATGAAAGTCATAACATGGACAGCAAGTGACCTCTTCTAAAGATATTGTAAAGCATAAGTGTGAGATGGCAAAAAGGTGACTGCTGCAGGCTACCTTCATTCAGATCTGTCAGCTAATTAATTCCCTGCTAATTTCATTTTGGTTTTGCTTTCAGTGTAATTCTTTTAATCTGCACATCATTTCCTTGCTACTCTGTTTGATTCAAGAAAAGCAGCAATAACGGAATATCTACTGGGAAGAAATGACAAAACATAACTTCTAGGAGTTCTGAACACATTCATGACTATTTGATGGAAAATGTACTGATTAGAAAGTACTCAGTTCATTTCTGAGTATTTTTATATTTTCAATGGGGCAGGAAAGTTGAAGGGGTTTTGCATTTTGTCTAGGTATATTACTTTCAGTTTCAAAGGGAAATTAATTAATTAATAGAGACTTGATTCTAAATCCATGTGCAATCAAAGTCCTTTGGGCCACAGGCTTGGAATATAAAGAGATAAGGAGAAAAGAAAAACTGAAAAGCCTTCCTAATCTAATACCTGTAATGCTTTTTAAAATTTTTATTTATGTCTTTTTTGAAATTTTAGCTGTCAAGCTAACAAGTTTACAAGAAATGGAATATTATTTAATGCTCTGCAAAAAATAGCTGTACCAGTACAATATCTTCTGTAATGATAAAACAAGGCAATTACATAAAGCATGTCATTCACTGAGTTTCAAAAATGGAATAGCTGCCTATTACTAAAGGTGATACAAACTACAACAGTGAATTGAAGTACACAATAAAAATCCTGTAATGACTGTGTCATGTTTTACAGACAACACAGCTGGGATTGAAACCAGGAGAAATGGTTACAGCAGAAGGCAGCAAGAGCTGTACTTTCTTCCAGTAGTAATAGAAGATAGCAGTTACCCTGTCCAGAGCAGCACAAACACAATGACTATCCGTGTTTGCAGATGTGATCCTGATGGTACCATCCTGTCCTGCAACGTGGAAGCAATCTTCTTACCAGTAGGCCTCAGCACAGGAGCGCTGATTGCAATCTTGTTGTGTATAGTTATACTTCTAGGTTAGTTCTCATGAAACCATGTGAAGTGCGTTATTCTGATTATTCACCTGTGAATTAATTTGTGTTGTTATTAGCTTCATCTATTGTTTAACAAAAGCCATTGAAAATGTGTGGCAGTTTATGACAACTTTTATGCTTCTACGTTTCTAGGAAAGCGTCCCAAAGCACTGACCATGACTGTGAATCTGCTAACATTTACATATTTCTTATTGCATGAAGAGAACCAGCTTTCAGTGGAATCCAAACTATAATTTTTTCTCTGAAACAGTTTTGTTTAAATACTTTTCTTGAAGAATTAATATTTTTAGGTTATTACTAAGGTGGACAAGTCCTACTGACAGTAACAGCAGTAAGGACTTAGTAAGGGCCTTTATTTAATTCTTCATGCCAACTTGAGCAAAAGGAGAACGAAGAAAAGAGAGACAAGAAAATAATTGTAATGTAGACTGTGACTGGCTAGATCCATGTAAAACTTTACAGGAACATTTTAATTTCAGGCAGGAATGGATTCCATAAGGTGGCATTGTCATTTGATCTACATTATATTTAAATATTGCCTTATTTACAGCATGCCCAAAGCAGTCAATTCTCATGTGCATCCTACTTATAATATAGTCTTAATGAACGGATAATGAAATAAAACCAACTTTGTAGCTTACACAGGCACAATGTGGGCTGCAGAAAGCAGACTGATTCTTACAGATGCTAGTCTATGCCTCTTCTTGATACCAGTGGGCTTCCAAGATCTCATGCTACTCCTTATGTAGGTCTAATGCACAGGCAAAAATTGCTGCAGACACAGAATATAACATATGGATACCTCTTTGCATTTGGATAATATAGTAACTTACCACTTAAGTAAATTACTATGGGCTCAGGGTTACATAAATAGCTTCTGAGTAGCAGTGGATAAAAGTCAGAATTTCTGTCCTGTGTAAAAATTTTGTGTTGTGAGAAAAATATTGTTTCAAATCAGAATGAGAATGGCAGATGGCCATACTTCCCATGGAACAGAAATGAATAACAAATACACCCATTCAGAAGAATTTTTAAAAAACAAAACAAAACAACCTTAGGTCAGTTTTTCAAAATCAAGAAGAATGCTGTCTCCTTTACCATAACTCCTTGGGACTACTTTTTTACTTTTAAGGGTTTCCTGGATAAAAGCAGCCAGGGGTGAGCCTCAGCATCAAAGAAATTCCATTATGAAAAAAAGCTTTAATTTATTTTCACATGAAAAGATAAGTCAATTAGAGCTCTGTCTTAAGGCAGGACTCCCAGGATATCTAACCTCTCTGTTACAGAGCAAAGTGCCTAGAAGCCCTAAACACATAGCTGTAGCAAAGTCTTTGTGTCCAGTAATCTGGACAGTGTGAACTATGCAGCAGAGAGCTTGATGCTTTTGGTACAGAGATCATTTACAATGGCAGAGTATCTGGGGAAGCGGGAACACCTGAAGACTGAATTTCCCCCAAAATTTACTAGGTGATCATGGAGGACTTCAACAGAACTGTGTTTATATTTCCCTAATGTTTTGTTGAAATAAATACAATTTTTATTTAAAAAAACCCAGCATATTCAATCAAAAATAATTATGTCAAAGAATTCCTTACTAGATCTGTTGCTGATTGATGCTCTTGGCATATACAAAACTAATGAAGATATTTTAATTCCTGCTTTGCACAGAATGCCGGACTGAATTACTGAGATTATGTTTGGAAAAGAGGTTTTGGTCCTTTAATAAATCCCTTCATTCCAATCAGCCTGGCAATATTACCTAGAAAAAAACTAATGTACAAATAATGAGATCTCGAGTGCTGTGTGTAACCTAAGAGGATGGCATTTATCTTATATCCAGACTTTCTCCTTACTATTCCATTGATCAGTTTAAAAACTGCTTTTGGATTTTCATTTCTTGCTGTGAACCTGGCCTGACGCACAGTCATTAAAATTGTAGTTGAAGTCATTCTTGTCGAACTCATTTCTACACAAAAGACACAGGAGTTATTTTAGGCCACACAAGCCTGACCATGAATTTATAATCATTGCAACTCCTGTATTCATTATTGTGTTACTTCAACAACAGCACTTAGAACACTGTCATTTCTACCAAAGGGAGTTAAAAATAACAGAGAGGCCAGTTTAACTACAAGCAGATTTTGCATTCAATGGAATATATCTCCAAAGGCAAACTATTGAAAAAACCTCACAAGCTGATTGCCATTGAGTTGCCATTTGGAATAAAATCAGGTTGTAACATTTTATATTATATGGAATCACAAAATTACAGTTGGAAAGCACCTCTGAAGATTATCTAGTCCAACCTCCCTGCTTACAGCAGGGTCACTTAGAGCAGGTTGCTCAGTATTCAGCTGGGTTTTGAATATCTCCAAGGATGGATACACCACAACTTCTCTGGGCAACATGATCCAATGCTTGACCATTCTGACAGTAAAGAAGCTTTTTTCTTATGTTTTAATGGAATTTCCTGCATTTCAATTTGTGCCCATTGCCTCTTGTCCTGTCACTGAGTACCACTGAGAAAAACCTGGATCCATCTTCTTTACTTCCATCCATCAGGTATTTCTACATATTGATAACATCCCCCGAGACTTCTCTTCTCCAGGCTGAACAGTCCCAGCTCTCTCAGCCTTTCCTTGTATAGCAGATGTTCCAATCCCTTAATCATCTTTGTGGTTCTGCACTGGACTCACTCCAGGAAGTCCATGTCTGTCTTGTACTGAGGAGCCCAGAACTGGACCCAGAACACCAAGTGTGTGACCAGGGCTGAACAGAGGGGAATGAACACCTCCCCAGACCTCCTGACAATGGTCTTCCTAATGCAGCCCCAAATGCTGTTGGCCTTCTTTGCCACAAAGGGCACATTGCTGGCTCATGGTGAACTTGTTGTCCACCAGGACTCTAGGTCTTTCTCTATCAAGCTGCTTTCCGGCTAGTCAGCCAACAGCATCTACAGTATGCGGTTGTTCCTCTCCATGTGCAGGACTTGGAATTTCCCTTTGTTGAACTTCATGGGGTTCCTGTTGGCCCATTCCTCCAACCTCGTGAGGTCCCTTTGAATGGTAGCACAACCCCTGTGTTGTATCGCCTGCAAACTTGCTAAGGGTGCACTCAATCCCGTGATCCAGGTCGTTTATGAAGATGTGAAACAAAACTGGTCCCAGTATTGACCCCTCGGGTACACCATTAGTGACTGGCCTCCGTCTGGTCTTTGGGCTGTTGTTCACAACCCTTACAGCCTGGCAGTTTGGCCAGCTTTGCAATCCACCTCACTGTCTACTTGTCTAGTCCACGCTTTCTCAGTTTTTCTGAGAAGGTTGTTATGGGAGACAGCATCAAAAGCTTTGGTAAAGTTAGGATAAAAACAATGCACTTTTCTCCCTTCATCCACCAGTCATCTCATTGTAGAAGGCTATCAGGTGAGTTAAGCACAATCTCACCTTCGTAAATCCATGCTGCCTACTCCTGATCCCCTTCCTGTTCTCGATAGGTTTGAAAATGGTTTCCAGAATTATTTGCTCCATCACTTTCCTCAGGATCAAGGTAAGGCTGACTGGCCTAGCTCGTTCTTCTTGCCTTTCTTGAAGATAGGAGTGATACTTGCTCCAATCCTCAGAAACTTCTCCCAGTCCCCATGACCTTTCAAAAATTATCACAAGTGGCCTCACAATGACATCAAGTCATCTCCCTCACCACTCATGTGTGCGTCCCATCAGGTCCCATGTCCTTTTGTGTGTCCAGTTTGTTTAAGTGTCTAACCTGACCCTCTTCCACCAAGAATAAGTCTTTCTTGTTCCAGACTTTCCCTCTCAGGGACCTGGGACCTGGGATTCCTGAAGGACAACCTTACCAATAAATACAGAAGCAAAGAAGCCATTGAGTAGGTTGGCCTTTTCTGTGTCCTTTGTCAACAGGTCCCCTGCCCCATTCAGCAGTGGGCCCACATTTTCCCTACTTTTTCTTTTTGCAGCTGTCATACTTGTACAAGCCCTTCTTGTTGCCATTCATGTCCCTCGTGAGCTTCCATGCCAGACAGGCTTTGACTTTCCTAACCGCATCCCTGCATATTCAGACAATCATTGTATATTCCTCCTGGCTCACCTGTCTCTGTTTTCACCTCTTATATGCCTTTTTTTTAATCTCTGAATTCAGTCGGGAGCTCCTTATTCATCCATGCAGGCCTCCTGCTGCTTTTGCTTGATTTCCTGCTCATCAGGATGGACCACTGTTGACCTTGGAGGAAGTGCTACTTGAAAATCAACCAGCTCTCCTGGACCCCTTTTCTCTCCAGAATCATATCACATGGGATTTTTCAAAACAGATCCCTGAAGAGGCCAAAGTATAAAAACCTGAAGTAGGATTATTTTTTCTCCGTTTCAAAGATTCCAAATTATTTTTTTCTTTTTAATACTGTGGGTTATTTTTCTCTGCCATATGGAAATTTGGGGGTTTTTCTCTATTTTGCTATGGAAGACATTTAAAAAAAAAATCCCATGTCTCTGTCTTTCTGAATTAAGAAGCTGAAGTCCTGCCCAATTCTATTTGTTCAAAAAGCAGGCCAGTAGGAAAATTATTTGTTACTTCTTTCAGCAGCACAGCAAGCGCTAAGGAGTTAGACTCGTACATCAAAGAGCAAATGACTTTTCATTGACTACAGCACTGCTATTTTTAAAAGAATAGTAGGAGCATATCTTCTAAGGAAAAAAGTCCCTTTGATTGCTTGCAACTTTCAAAGGAAGATATAACGATGTATCATCAGAGTACCAAATTATTTCTGTGCATGTCTTAACTTCAGTTTTCTCTCATTACAGTCATTGTGGTACTGTATGTAGCACTACGGAGGCAGAAGAAAAAGAACACCCTGATGACCTCTAAAGAAGACATCAGAGATAATGTTATCCATTATGATGATGAAGGAGGTGGAGAAGAGGACACCCAGGCTTTCGACATAGGTGCCCTGAGGAATCCCAAAGTGATTGAAGATAACAAAATACGCAGGGACATAAAACCAGACACCTTGTGTTTTCCACGTCAGAGACCACCAGTGGAAGATAACACAGACATAAAAGATTTCATTAATCAAAGGCTGCAGGAAAATGATGTAGATCCAACTGCACCCCCTTATGACTCCTTGGCAACCTATGCTTATGAAGGAAATGGATCTGTTGCAGAGTCTCTCAGCTCTATAGACTCCCTTACTACAGAGGCAGATCAGGATTATGACTATCTGAGTGACTGGGGACCTCGCTTCAAGATCTTGGCAGATATGTTTGGAGAAGAAGAAAGTTATAACCCTGACAAAGTCACTTAAGTACAACTACAACAGTGAAATAAAAAGAAAAGTAAACCAACAACAAATTTAAAAGATAAACCTAAGCTTTATAATAGGACAGGATTCCTTTGATTATAAAAGACAGCAACTGTTTCCAGCAAGTTACTACATTTATCATACTGTCAGTTTTGGTTTGATCTGCAAAGGAAAGATAAATCCTGTAATATACACAGTTTTTTGTGGTTGTTATTTTGTTACTCTGGAATTACACTGAGACAAGCTCAGGCCTATAAGGTACAGTTTACTGACCTGATTTAGAAAGAAGATAGCTTTCTGGCATCATGGTGGAAGAGTGGTAGCTTTTTCGTAATTCCACTAAAGTGCCTATTGAAACTTTTATCATTTAAGTGGTAAAGAGTCTGCTGTGATGGTGTTACAAAACTGAATGGTAAATTGGACAAGAACTTCAAGACAAGAAGCAATAGCAACATGCTGACTTCTTTTAGAACAAAAATGGAGATCACTTCTTGGAATATATTTAATGACTAAAACTAAGGGGGGGAGGGGGGGAAGGGGCGTGTATGTTGTGTTCAGGGGTTATGTTTGGGTTTTTAAAAGAAGAAAACAGTATGTCGAGACATCATATTTCTTCTTCCAAAATTTCACTGAAAATTTAAATTTAAAATGCTATTGCTCACTCTGAAGATGTAAAGCCCAAATTAAAAAGGAAAAGGTCTTAGCATATATCAATTAATATTTAAAATGTTCATGCAAATATTACATTTTTCCAAAATAATAAAAAGATGAAAGCAGCTATTCCTTTATGTGAAGGAAATTTCCCTTGGCTCCCCCTCTTCTTTTAAAATTAGACTATTACTGGAACGTAAAATGGAGAGGGTTTTTTAAGAGTATTATTGTATTTTTAGTACCAAGACATTTTTTCCCTTGTAAGTATCACTAAAGAAGTATATGTAAAGAACTCCACATCACTTTTCTTTGCAATTACATTGTTAGTCTGTAGGTGCTATAAGCATACATATTATAGAGATAGTTATTTTCCAACTGACCATCTGCTACAATTCAGCATATCATTGCATTTCACTGTCAGACCCACATCAAACATTTTATAAAGCCTTTTGAGGATGGAAACCTTATTAATTTTGTTCTTGCCAAAATATTAACAGAGACAGAATAAAAATATAAAACAGTACGTTTGTCCACACTTTATGTGCATAGCCATGCATAAATGTAGCTGTGCAGGTAACAGAAGTACAGACATCCACAAGGCATTATGCCATGGAAGATCTCTTGTAAAACTATTTCGTCTGACTTTTTCTGTTGATCTAAGGCATAGACATTTTGTAAGATGATGGTTTACAGCCCCCAAAGTGCATATATCCTGGTATTCTCTTTCTAAAATCTCTGCAGTGCTATACAATCTGCTTGAGCTCTACTCTTGATTAATGGCACTGGCAAGGTCAGCCCGAATCTTTCATGAATCAGAAGTCTTTTATCCACCTCAGGTCTACAGCTAACTTTTTGCACCGCTGAAGAATTAGCAACTATCAGATATAGTTAGCTCATAAGTCTGATATTCACATACACAAAGTTCCTTTTACTCTCTTGGGGAAATGTAAAGGTATTTCAAAGTTGTATAAACTAATCTCCCAATGAGACTTTAAAAGGTGTATAGTTTAAATAAGTTTTCAAATTGTTCAGATCATTCGGTACAATTGGACAAGGCTGCATTAAAAGCACGATTGGCATAGCTTCTACCAGCAGAGTGCTGAGGAAGAGACACAGCATATGGTAACAAGAAAAGTGTGTGAGTTTTTTCATTATCAGCAAAGGTATCCTATGTTCCCTGAAAGACAAACTAAGCCAACAAAAGCTCTCTTCTTACAGATGGAGTGGGGGGGCCCATTTGCCAGCATAGCAATTTTTGTGCGGAAGGTGTTGTTTGTAATTTTTGCACATCTTGACAGCATAGCAAAGGCAACTTGATACTGCAGAGTGGGCCTAAAACAGAGCTCTGGAAAAAAAAAAAAAAAAAAAAAAAGCTACTAGTTACCACACAGGTTTGATTCATACAAAATTCACACTTGTGGAGGTACTTAGCAATGCTTCCTCATGTAGCATATGCATAGCATTCTTCCTGCCCTGCTGCCACAGCTAAAATAAGCATCTGACACTGCTCATTTACATATGTGCAATCCTATAGCCAAACTCTGCACTTAGTAACTGTATTAGTCCTTTACATGTATTTCACTAGTAAAGTCAACATAAGTGAGAGCAGTGTTTGACTTTTTGACATCATGTGGCATGCTTGCTCTGGGGAAACTTGTATTTGTATCAGATACTGGGTGAACATTAGGTCTCTTGAATAGGTTGGCATTTGCTCTAAGCAGGATAATCTGTATGGGAGCCTAACTTCCAAAATGGGGAGACAGAAAATGTGGTCTTAAACATGTTGCTACACACAATCTATATTTGAGAGTGAGTTGCTGTATGTTAAATTAATACCAAATTTAATATTAAATGCATATTTTTTACATTTAAGAGGTTTGTAACTGAGATGTTTCTATCACATAATTAAAAAACCTCCAGGAATATTTTAAAAAAATTGGTATGCAATTACTAATGCAATTTTCCTATAAAATCATAATTAAAATCTTTTAAGACCTTTTTTTAAAGAGTGATCAAACAATTTTAACTTAACAGGGGTATTTTTTGTAAACAGCTCTATAGAACTAAGGAAAAGAATTGTTTTTCATTTATGCATAACTTGGAATCCAGGAAATTTGTGTTTAATTTCATGTTCTCTCACTTTCTTTCTAAAAGATGCTTGTCAGGTTTTTAACACCTTATTTTTTAAAAGGTAATGTGAGAGTTAAGAAGTTTACAAGATTTAAAATATGTGAATGCATGAAGGCATCTCAGATGACATGAAGTCAATGAGATTAAGGAACCTCAGTGCATTTGTAAATTGTATCAGATAACTACTTCAATTTTTAAGTGCTAGATCTTCAAAAAATCTCTACAAACCCTTGCACAACCAAGATGTAAAGTGGATGTCTGTCTTTCTCTTGACTGTGGAAAAAGCCATAAACCTCAAATTCTATCATAGTGACAGGAAGCTAAGATAATGCTTAAAAGGCAAAGAAGGGATAGAATTGTGAGAAATACTTTTGTTTAAATTTCCAAACGTAAGATTCTGGTGCACAAACATCTAGCATCATCTTAAATGTCTCAACAGTGTCCCCCCTGCAAATCACAAGACATTCTGTAAAATGCCTTCTGCACATGAAGGCATTGAGGCACTTCACTGGCACAAACAAATCCATGTTTTAAGTTAAATAATTATGACATAGAATAGTGGTGCTGAAATAAAAGTCTAAATGTAAAGCATTCAGCTAAGAAGGGAAGTATCTCAGCAAATCTAGCTGATAAGCTTACATAGTGGACATACAGAACTGAAGACAAATTTATCACAGAACATTTGAAAAGAATTTCAGGGAGGAAGGAATAAGTCTTCCCTGACCTCCCAAGAAAGCTGAAAATGTCATTACTTAGGAAAGTTCAGACAATTTCTCTGAGGGATCAGAACATAAAAAAAGGTTGCTAATATTTGGATTTAAGAATGCTACCACACAAATCTGAAAATGCTGTTATTCTTGAAACGCAAATTTGCAATATTGTCAGTGAGTCAAACAGCAAGAATTTGGAAAGCAATGACAGTAGATGATATCTTTTGCACAAAGATATGTTTGAATATTTTATACTTCTATGATTTTTACTTATTTTATAAATTTTCTCTAAATTTTGCTGTTCAAAATAAAATCACAGTTACTAAGGATTTACTGTATGGAAGCAGAGTTCATTATGGAGCAAAGAGCAATAAATGACTCAACAGATTACTGACAATATTATTCTAGAGACTACCTTGAAAATATTCTTGCCTTAAGAATAAGATGTCCATATCCACATAAACACAACTGATCCTTCAATAGTAAAAAATGTGGTTCTGCAGATGTTATATTCATTTTAGATTTACCTCCATTATTGTTATGAAGGACTTCTTAAGAGCGTGTTGCTCTGAAATAACAAATCTCTATTAAACGAATACAGGAAGAAAATATAATAATCCATTGGGTTACTGGCATTTCATATGACATTAGTGACCAAATTTTACTTGCTGAGATTTGGGGTTGTAAGTTATTTGCAGTTATTTTATTAGTTTTATTATTATTATTAACATAATAATTCAAATCCTGTGTGTACAGAAATATTTTTGAGCTTTACAAACTTTCATGAAAACAAATAATGAAATGACCCCTAATAATAACCCTACTGAGGTGACATTTAAGTGTGAATGAAAATCAAAGTTTATATTACACGACTTCACAAGCTTCTCTTAATGCCAAATCTATAACAACCTGATTCCTTTTCTCTTCTTATTTAAATCAAGAACTAGAAAGTTATCAGAACACGAGCAACAGTTGATATTTTGAACAAAACTAAGATAAGTTCCTGTTTGGTCTGTTTGTTTGTTTGTTTGTTTTTTAATGTTCTATTTATTTAATTGATAAACTTCCTTTATTCAACTTTAGTTTGCAACTAAAATCCCCAGAAAATTTTTTTCTGTCTTACTTCCATTGCTGTGGTCCCAGTCAAAATACTTGTCAGGGCTCAGGGGGATCTTATCAATGTGTGGAAATGGATGGATGGAAGTAAAGAAGATGGATCCAGGTTTTTCTCAGTGGTACTCAGTGACAGGACAAGAGGCAATGGGCACAAACTGAAATGCAGGAAATTCCATTATAACATAAGAAAAAAGCTTCTTTACTGTCAGAATGGTCAAGCATTGGATCATGTTGCCCAGAGAAGTTGTGGTGTATCCATCCTTGGAGATATTCAAAACCCAGCTGAATACTGAGCAACCTGCTCTAAGTGACCCTGCTGTAAGCAGGGATGTTGGACTAGATGATCTTCAGAGGTGTCTTCCAACCTCAGCTATTCTGTGACTTATGCTAAAACCATCCTGTGTACTTAGGCTCCTTACCTCTAGTAAACTCAATGGCATTAGGGACGTAACTACATATGCATAGTAACTATGACTTGTTTTAGAGAGACAGCTCAGGTAGAGGTGGAGGAACAGGACAGCAATCTATAAATTTACTAGCAATGTGAATGGACTGGAGGGGGATAAATTATTTACTGTAACTTCCAGTACAAGAAATAAGGGGCATCACATGAAACTAGTATGAGTCAGGATTAAAATTAAAAAATGGAGGTGGTTCTTAACACGATGAGTATCTGAGATAGTCATGAAGACTCAGAACTTACATAGGTTGAAAGAGAGGCTGGACAAATTCATGAAAAACTAATAATTTGTGGATTGCTTAATACGGAGGAATCATATCTGGCTCAGGGAGTCCCTGAACAGTGCTTAATTAGCATCTGGGGGAATCACATAACCTGGTCTGTTCCTACATGTTTTGCTGGTTGTATTGGGTTTGTGTGGCAAGGTTTTGGTAGCAGGGGGGCTACAGGGATGGCTTCTGTGAGAAGCTGCTAGAAGCTTCCCTTATGTCTGACAGAGCCAATGCCAGCTGGCTCCAGGATGGACCTGCTGCTGTCCAAGGCCAAGCCAATCAGCAACAGTGGTAGTGCCTCTGTGATACTGTTGTCCAAGGCAAAGC